AAAACCCTAGAAGAATTTTGGAAGAAAATACAACAACAAAATGACAAAATCAATGAAAAATTAGAAATGATTCTAAATCTACACACAGAAATCCAGAAGATTAATACTAAACTTTCAGAAATAGGTAACACATTGAAAGGGCAAAGGAGTAGAATTGATGCAATGGAAGACAGAATTAATGAGATTGAAGACAAACACTCAAATACTTCTTTGGAAAGGGATCAATCAGAAAAAAGATCAAAACAAAATGAAGAAAGCCTAAGGCTCATATGGGATACCATCAAAAGGAATAACCTACATGTTGTTGGAATCCCAGAACAGGAAGAGAAAAATGAGACCACTGAGAAAATTGTCCAAGATTTGCTGGAGGAGAATTCCCTGATACGATGAAAGATGAGAATATATCCATTCAGGAAGTCCAACAAACCCCAAAGAGGAGGATAGACCCCCCCCAAAAAAAAAACACCAAGACATATCAAACTCACCAAAACCAAAGACAAAGAAAGAATCATGAGAGCAGCATGGGAAAAATGAAAAGTTACCTACCAAGGACAGCCAATAAGACTAAGCTTGGATTTCTCGACAGAAACCATGCAGGCGAGAAGACAGTGGGATGGTGGTATATATAAAACACTGAAAGAGAAAAATTTCCAACCAAGAATTTTGTACCCAGCAAAATTGTCCCTCAAATATGATGTTGAAATTAGGACATTTGCAGATAAGCAGAAATTAAAGGAATTTGTTAAAACCAGACCAATCTTACAAGAGATGCTAAAGGGAGCCCTTTGGACAGAGAAGCAACAACAGCCAACAACAACTGACCATTAACACACATGATGATATAACCCAGAAACCAACCCAGCTATGGAAATATCCAAAGTAAATAAGCCTATAAGATTGTAAACAGGGAACCAGAGACACCAACTGACAAATGAGGACAACTACAAACCGAAAAGAGGAAAAAAATCTGTGTCGTTACAGAACTCTAGATGGTGGGGAAGTCAAGACAACTACAAGATAGAACGGATTGTTCTACACTTGGGAAGAAAACTATAAATCACAGGGTAACCACAAAGAAAAATGATAAACCGTCACATCAAAATGAAAAAGAGGACCAGCATATTATATTCAGCAAATACTAAAACAGTAGCAATGAAGGAAGTGATAACATGATTCATAAACAAAA